AGGAGGAAGGAGTCAGTAAGGAGGACGGGAGGGCATGTCAGTGTGCCCCAGAGTCCCCTGGAGCTGACAGAAACCGTGAGCCTTGGAATTGGGGCAGGGCTTCTGCATGCAGGGCCCCACACCGAGGATCCAATGGTGTGGCTGCCGCGACTCCCCTCCTCTGATGCTCCCCGCAGGAAAAAGGAGGGGCAAGGGCGTGCCGAGGAACTGCAGCTCCAAGAGTCCCCCGCATGCTTTCCCAGTCCTGACAGTAGGAAGGCCCAGGGGGCCATCCCTGATTCGGGCTCCATTCTCTGAAGGTGCTGTCTCTGGACACAAACATCACAAACCAGGTGAACAAGCTGAACCGAGACCTGCTTCGTCTCATGGACGTGGGCGAGTTCTCGGAGGAGGCCCAGTTCCGAGACCCCTGCCGCTCCTACGTGCTCCCCGAGGTCATCTGCCGCAGCTGTAACTTCTGCCGGGACCTGGACCTGTGCAAGGAGTCCTCCTTCTCTCAGGTGGGCAGCGGCCGTGTCCTTGCCGTCGGTCAGGACAGGAGATGCTCCGGCACCCCCTCACGAGCGCCCCTGCGAGTTCTGATGTAAAAGGCCCTCGCTGCCACGCACCAGAACAGTGTCCTTGTAAACACACCTGGCGGTGGCGGTGCTCTGGGCCCACAGTGCCCCTGCGTGTACCACGTGATCCCTCCCCGGCCCTGGGGAAGGCTGAGCAGAAGGCTGCACAGAGAACTGACCTGGCCCTCTCTTCCTCTGCCTAGGACGGGACCATACTGCCGCAGTGGCTCTGCTCCAACTGTCAGGTTGCCTACGACACCTCCGTCATCGAGATGGCTCTGGTGGAAGCTCTGCAGAAGAAGCTGATGGCCTTCACTCTGCAGGACCTGGTGAGCAGTGGGCCTGGCCCTGGTCCTCTGAGGACAACCTGGTCCTCTGAGGTGACCACCCCGTGGTTCAGGCAGCGACCTTTTGACTTCTTCTTATACGTCTCTGGGGTTCCTACAGGGGCAGGGCTGGCCCCATGGACCTCTCGTTGTAGCAAGAGGGGATAGACAGTGAGCAAGATGAGAGTGTGTAAGTCACAGTGAGTGTAAGGAGAATGGACGGGGAAGAGAAAGAAACAGGGAAGTTTTCAGTGTTGGATGGAGGGATATTCCCGCCAACCGGGGACATCTGAGCAGCGATCTGAGGGGGTGTCCTGGAATGTGAAGACCCGAGGACGGAGCAGGGGTGAGGAGCCCCCAGGACGCAGAGTCAAGGGTGCAGTGCTCACTCTGAGGGGGTTAGGAAGCGGCTGTCACGTTTGGATAAATACTCTCGCAAAGTCTCGCATTTTATTCATGGTTGAGCTGAAGGCCAGGGCTGAGGAGGGCAGGGAGGGCCTGTCGAGTGAACGTGCTGAACGACTGGCCACTGCTGGTGGCGACTGGCCTGGGCCGCGGACCTCCTCACCAGGGCTGCTCCTCGTTGCAGATCTGCTTGAAGTGCCGGGGGGTGAAGGAGACCAACATGCCTTTGTACTGCAGCTGCGCGGGGGCCTTCGCCCTTACCATCCGCACCAAGGTGGGGCTCCCACGGCCAGCCGACCCTGCTGCCTTTTCCATCTGCCCACACCCACTTCTCCGCTGACGCGCCGGGGCCTGCTCTGCGGCCAGGTCTCACTGTGACTGCTCGTTTCTGCAGGTCTTCATGGAGCAGATTGGAATCTTCCAGAACATTGCCCAGCACTATGGCATGTCATACCTCATGGAGACCCTGGAGTGGTTGCTACAGAAGAACCCTCAGCTGGGCCAGTAGCAACTCGAGCCACGTCCCCATTCTGGCTCTGACCTCCCAAGCTTGTGACTACGTCCAGGACAGGGCACCAAGGAACACCAGCCACAGGGAGCTTCGGGGAGCAGGTCATGGGGCCCAGGAGAGGCCTGAACCAGCCGGAGCAGGAAGCGTTGCCACCTCTGGGTTCCTTGGGCCCCGGCTGTGGTCAGGGCAGCCCACTCTGGGCCTGAGCAGTGTTTGCAGGGCGGGGCCCTAGGACTGTGTCTTGCTGACTGAGCAGCCTCCCGGCCGTCCTGTCCTTCCTCTGCTGCCCAGGGGGGTCTCCTGTCTGGGCAGAGTCCCTACGGGTCGCCTGGTGGGAGTTTGCGACCCCGGTTTTTGATCACTTGTTACCGCAGAGAACATGCCCGATAGCTTGATGCCAGCAGGATTTGGGCCATTTCCCGGGAATCCAGTGCCGAACCCCATGGGGACCTGGGCGTCTTTCACACGATGAGTTCCCGGGATTTGGGCTTCTTGTCTGGAGACTTCCTGGTCACAGCAGGGTCTACAGGGGCCGGGGCTCATGTGACAACAGACCCCTTGTGTGCAGCAGCGAGACTGGAATCCGGGCTGTGGCGCGCCTGCCCTCCGACGCCCCCATGCCGTGAGGAGGGCCCCACAGCGGCAGGGAGTCTGGGGGCCCAGGGGAGGGGAGGTGCGCACCATCTATCAGACTTCCACATCTCACTTTAGGGCCCGGGTTTGGGGAAATCATTTCTTCACGTGCAAGATTTTAGGCTTTTCCCTTCAGCTCTGAGGGGTCCACGTCTTGGGAGAGTTGGAGAAAGCAGCAGCAGCCGCGTCGGTGGGGCTGCGTGGTCCTGCTCTGCCGTCAGCCTGGTGCCTGCCCGACCTCCCCCCGCCAGCGGGGCACGCCAGCCCTGGGCCTGCTGCCCTCACCTGCCTGCGGCAGAGCGGCTGGGTCAGGGCTGTGGCCTCCTCAACGCTGGACGCTTGCCGCCGGCGTGTTCGGAGCTGAGTGCGGCTGCAGACGTGGGGCCCGACGCGCGGCGCTCCGTACGGGTGGGGCTGGGCAAGGGAGAGCCCCGGGCCACGGGGCCTGCCTTCCGGTGACCTCGGGAAGATCGCTGGGCCGCTGCTTCCGCTCTTCTGTCGGTGGCCCCGGAGGACCGACCCCACACTTGGCTTCTGACTAAATGAGACTGGGAGCAGAAAAGGAACGGCCGAGTCAGGGAGGCGACAGGCAGGCTCACTGAAACATATGCGCAGACCCCAAATGGCAGCCTCCGGGGAGCTCTGGGCCACTGCGGGCTCTGGAGCCGGGCTTAAATTCATCCTTTTTGCCAAACTTCTCAGTATTACACTGTGAACTTCCTTTTATTCTTTGAGCTTTACATTTCTTGAAATTTTTATGGTACATGTGCAAGGTGTCTTGGTCTGTACAGGGATGGGAGGAGGAGCAGCAGACATCGGTCCAGCCGTGTGCGTTGGCCCCTGGGTACTGCGCTTTGGGTGTGTCTAGGCCCCACGGCCACGAGAAACCCGACACTGGCTGGAAGGTGGACAGAGCCTGCATCAGCCCCCAGATGGAGATTAAATCAAATTAGGGCTGGGTGGGGGAGGAGGGGGCTAACCAGGCTTCCTGGAAGCAGAGCCAGAGAAGCCCCAGTGCGGGGGTGGGGGTGGGGCGGAGGGCCTGCCCACTGCCACCACCCCCCCCCCCCCCCCCGTGTCCCTGCAGCAGGGCGGCTCCCACAGAGGCCAGCTTGGGGCGGCTGAGGGCCCCAGGGTGACTCTCCTGCTTGAGAATGAGAAACCTGAACCCCTGGCTGTGGTCCTTGAGCTGCAGTCCAGCCCCAACTCGAAAAGCCAGTTTCTCCAGAACTAGAGCTGGAGGTCAGCAAGCCAGACCCCGGATGCTGCTGGCACTGGTGACTGGGCTCCTACTCTGAGGATTAGAAGGGTCCGGACAGGGGGCTAGGTGGGGGCTTCTCAGGTGTGTGTGACTGCTGGCCCAGGTGGGTGTGGGCAGGTGGGAGGGCTGGCTCTGGCCACCTGCCAGCGTCTCTTGGACCTGGGGACTTGGGGGCCTGGGCGGGGTCTGAGCTCTCACTGGGCCTTGGGAGCGATGGGATCCCAGCCGAGGTGATCTGTGCGAAGCATGCCCGTGCTGCCTCAGACCTGTTTGCCGTCCCCGTTGCCAGGGAAACCGCTGTCCAGCCAAGTTCTGGCAGCCCCTCAAGGCGGGGGCCTGGCCAGACAGGCACCAGGCAGAGTCGCTGAATGTAATGACTGCTGTGGCATCTCCGGGTGTGCTAACCAATTATCTGCAGGCCAGATCCGCTGCTGCCGGCCTGTGCGCCCCTCAACCTGGCCCTGCCTTGTCTGTCCCCCTTGAAGCATTAATTCCTGCCCTTCCTGCGGCCCTGTTCTAAGTGGGGCCTGGGGTGCTTGCACAGGTATTTCGAGCAAGAACCAGGGTTTTCCTTAGTGAGACTCTCATCACCTACTCCCTGGCTCCCCTCCTCCTCCAGAGTCCCCATCCTGTCCCATATTTTGAGGTTTGGGTCTGGGGTGACACACCCACCCTCAGCTGGTAGGCAAGCTAACTGCAGAGTGGGTGCTGGGCGCAGTTGAGTTCCTCCTGCTCACGCCACCCCGCCACAGTCGGATGTCACCGTGACCTGGCTGGATGTGGGGGTAGACGCGCCCGTGCACTCTGCAGCCAGGCTGGTTAGAGGGGAGTCAGGACCACAGGCACCCACAGCTCCCACACTCAAGGACCCTCCTAAGTGTTTCTCTTCAGGGCCTCAAGATACTTTTCCTGAAAAATAAGGCCCAAGGGTCTGGTCACAGGTTTATTGGATTCTGGATGTGTGGTTTCTTGGCTACGAGACAAGCAAAGGGTCTGGGAGGGGGTAGGGCTGAGAAGCCTGGGAGGGAGGTCAGCTGGGGACAAAGAGGCAGTTTGACCCACTCCACCCCGGCCCCGGGGAAAGTTGGGGGGCCAGGCACGTGGTGTCGGCCCACTGCCCCACTGCACAGGGGTCTTGTGGTTCCCAGTCTCACAGTGTCGAAGTGTGAGGGTAGGGCCCCCAGGCACAGCGTGCAGGTCTCCGTGGGCTGCCGGGGGAGCAGGGCCTGGGTCTCTCGGGACCACAGACTTCAGGGCCCTGCCAGGCAGAGCCTTTGACACAGCGTCATGGAAGGTATGTGGTGGGCTCAGAGCTGGGCCAGACCTCGGGGGTCTGAGAGTGTGGAGTCCTGTTGGGAAGGTCCGGAGGTGCACAGCTCTGGTCCCGCCGTCTGTTGGGGAGGGTCCGCCATCTGCTCACTGGGGGCGGAGGTGGGGCAAAGCCATGCGGACGGGGAAGCCAGGGTTTGGCCTGCTTGGCCAGGGTCTGCAGAGCAGGGGTGGGGTGGGGGAGGGGCCTGGCCCAGCACAAGCGCCAGAGTCGCAGGCCAGCTACCAGGGGAGCGTCTCGGTGTGCACACCTTGTCGAATTTCTTATGGCTGTACACCTTGTTCTTGTTCATAAATGTCAGCAAGATCCAGTCACACAGGAAGGAGCCCTGGGCCGAGACCCACATGTGAGGGCCCAAGAGACACTCCCCTCCACTCCACCACCAAGCCCCCACATACCCAGCATGCATTTCCTTACCACCCCGATGGAGGTCAGTGCCGTGGCCAGATTAATGATGGTGGGGATCAGGCTGAACTTCCCTGCCTTAGGAGGGGAGGCTGCCTTAGATGGTTGTGGGGTCTGGGGCAAGTGGGGCTCAAGGGAGGGTGGGGGAGATGGGGCTGTGCCAGCTCAGTCCTGGGCCTGCCTGAGTCCCTGGTAGGCAGAGCGGGCTGGTTCACCTGTCCATGCACGATGACGTCAATGCGGATCCCATAGGCCTTGATGAGTGTGCGGGTGGTGCTGCCGTTTACCTTGTAATATTTGGCGAACCTGGGAAAGAATGACCCTGAGGAGCACGGTGGTGGGTGCTCACCCATCACCCAACACGGGACGCTCCAAGACCACCAGCCCCTGAGGCACTGAACCTTCAAGCACCTGCCCCGTCATCTTGGAGCCACTGCAGCCAGGGCAGACGAGGAACCAGGCATCCCGAGACCAAGGTACCTGAAGTTGTAGCCAGATGAGGCTGGGACGTGCTTGGGGTCAAGCCTCCGGAAGGAGTACTTGGGGTTGCACTTTGACGCGGACAGGTCCAGGTCACAGTCCCAGTTGATAATGACCCCAATGACGCCACCCTGCCCAGAAGTGGGCACAGAGATGGGTGTCAGGGAGGGTACACAGAGGGCCCTCAAGGGCCATGGAGTCCTGCCCTGAGACTGCATATCGGGTGCTCATCTTGGGGCACCTGGGGCAGCTCAGGGCTGAGAGCTGGGGTGCTTGGGTGGGCCCCACTGCTGAAGCATGAGGGGACAGCAGTGGCCAGCTATGTGACCAGGAGTCAATAATTTAGCAGGAGCCTTGCATGCCCAGATGGGCTGGCTGATCACGTTTCTCCTTCATCTGCCTGAACAGGGCCAGGGCTGGCCAAGACTGCAAAGGGGGTTGGCAGACCCTTCGTCTGCAATAGGGGTCAGCATCTGAAAGGAGAGCTAGCCCCCCAATGTGCCTCGGCTGCCCCCCTCACCGTATGAGCCAGCTTCGTGAAGTTCTCCCCTGCCCGTTCCACAATGAAGCCCAGCTTGAAAATGGGACAGTAGAGATCAGAGACCTCATCGAACGTGCAGCGCTTCAGGTAGCCGTCCTTCCTGTGCTCTATGTTGCTCCTGCAGACAGGGCCCAGCAACGGGAGGTGCCCTGCACCCACAAACCCCGCGCTCCCGGGAGGCAGTGCCCATCCTTAGCCCATTGTCACCATACCCTCGTGGCTCTTACTTGGAGAACTGGAATTTAGGGTAGTGGATGCTGTTCTTGATGAGGATGGTGAAATTTGGGGCCATCTTGCCGAGAAATTGGCTGAGGAGGCACAGACTGGATGTGTTTAGTCTCCCACCCCAGTCCCCCACCCAGCACACCACGGTACTGCTCAGTGAGGAGAGAAAGGAGTGGAACAGAGTAGCGCTGGGCTGTCAGCTGGGGCTCAGGCAGGAGGGGTCACCGGGTGCACACCTGACAGAGGCCCCGTCTTCCACCGGGCACCAGCCGGACACCTCGCAAGTCTTGGCTGAGCCTTGGTAGTAGGGTACGCAGCGCCCGGTCCGCAGGCCTGCGGGCAGATATGTGCTCAGGGTACAAGGGGCGCCAACCCATCCCACCCCCGTCCGGCGTGCACTGACCGTTTCCCAGCATGTCCAGCTGCCTGGCCACGCAGTCCACATCCGAGTCACAGGTGGCGTTGCTGACCCTCATACTCTAGGGAGGAGACAGCTTGGTGAGGATCCCCACAGCTTCTGGGGCAGGCACAGCTGGCGCCCTCCCTTGGACCCAGCTCTGCCCTCCACCTGGCCTCACCTCTGGGCAGGTTCCGAGGGTCTGGGAGGGTGTGACCTCAATCCTGGTGATGATGCTGAACACGCTGCCTCCCTGGGCTCAGAAAGAGAGGATGGTCGGCCGAGGCGGGCGACGCAGGCACCCCTCACTCCTTCCTGGGGGGCACGCGGGGCAGGCAGGCGTACCTCGGGGGGCTTCACGTACTCCTCCACGTCCCACACTTTGTGTTCGGAGAAGGTGATGCCCTTGACCTTGGTGATGACGGAGCTCTCGGGGCCCGTCTCGCTGTCCTGGTAGCTCTTCTGCACGATGAACACGTACCTGCGGGACGGGCACCGCCGCTCTGGAGGCGACCCGGGACCCTCCCCCGCCGCTCCCCGCGGCTCCGGGCCCCGGCGCCCCTGCGCCCCCAGCCCAGCCGCACCCACCACACAAAGTAGAGCAGGATGAGCAGCTGCACCGCGCGGTACACGACGCCCAGGCGCCGGTTCTTCACCACGATCACCTTGGGCGTCTCGTAGTCCCAGAACGCTGACCAGCAGCCGCGGGCCAGGCGCCGGGCTGCGTCCGCCCACGCGGGGGTCTTGGGCTCAGCGGCCTCCATGTCCCAGAGCTCCGCCAGGGGCGCGGCGCGGCTCGCACCCTGCGGACTAGGAGCGTGGGCAGGGGAGCCCCGCGGCACCGCCCCGGGGCGGGGCCTGTGGCGCCCCGCCCCGCCCCACCCCACCTCGCCCGCCCTGGGCTCGGAGCGCGCGGGGGCGCACCTGGCAGGTGCCGGCAGGTGGGCCCGGAGCCGGCAGAGCCCAGCCAGCAGCCTGTACCCCACCGCGCTCCTCGAGGGCCCGAGGACGCACTGGGGCCCGCGCGTCCCTGGGGAGGACGCAGAGCCCTCGGGGGACTCAGTGGAGATGCGGGCGGAGGAGGCGGCCAGGCCCCGCCGGTCTCCTCGCGTCTCCAGCCGCGTCTCACGGCGGCGCGCGCCCAACCTGAAGGACCGTCCGTGTTTGATAGTTCCCCCAGCTTCGTCGAGATGCAGGTGACTGACTCCGCGGTGCGCAGGGTGTGAGTTCAAGGTGTGGGAGGAGGTGATTTCCGAAGGCAGTCCTGGATTCCCGCCCCGCCCCGCCCCACCGGGTCCCCGCTGCTCAGCAAGAACACCCTCCAGGCCCCGCCAGGTTGGGCCCTTGCTTTGCCGAACAGCCCCTTTGCGGGATCTAGGATGCCCTCGGAGCCGCTCAGCTCCAGCCCCCTCCTAGGTTCCAGAGCCCAGTCCTCACATGTGCGCTTTGGCTGCAGCTCTGCTTTCATCCACTTCCAATTCATTTCTGCTATCTTTGCAAACCAAAGTTGTCTTTTTTTTTTAAACGTTTTGTATCTTCACCCCATTTCATTATTTTGGAGCAAATCCCAGACATCATAGTCAGAAAACGATAAATTTTTCACACTTTATTTAAGTGAAGTTCACTTAGCATCTAATTAACCATTTTTTAAAAAGATTTTATTTATTTATTTGACAGACAGAGATCACAAGTAGGCAGAGAGGCAGGCAGAGAGAGAGGGGGAAGCAGGCTCCCTGCTGAGCACAGAGCTCCATGCGGGACTCGATCCCAGGACTCTGGGATCATGACCTGAGCCAAAGGCAAAGGCTTCAGCCCACTGAGCCACCCAAGCGCCCCCTAATCAACCATTTCAATGAACTGTGCAACCACTGTTACCTACCACAGAAACATTCTTACCATCCCCAGCTAAACTCCCTGTTTTCCTCCTCCCTGTGGAGTTGTCTCTTTAGGAGATTTCGTATAATGGAATCATACAATATTGTCCATATTGTGTCTGCTTTCTTTCCCAGGGCACGTCTCAATGGTCCGTCCAGGTGGTAGCATGTACCAGTGCTTAATTCCTCTTTACGGGAGAATAATATTCCAGCGAGTGACTGTCCCACAATTTATCTGCTCACCCTTTCACAGACGTTTGGGTGTTTCCACTGTTTGGCTCTTATAACTCGTGCTGTTATGAACATTTGTGTCCAAGTATGAGTTTGAACAGCTATTTTAAATTCTTTGGGTGTATAGGGTTTCCGGGTCACATGGTATTTCTGCGTTTTACTTTTTGAGGAATCCCTGTTCCGTCTTCTGAGCAGCTGCACCACCTTTGTGGGAGTCAGCATGTATGAGGGTTCCAGTCTCTGCACATCCTAGTCAACATTTGCTAGTTTCAGCTCATTTACTCATTGTCATTCTAGTGAGGAAATGGTGTAACTTGTTCAGGTAAATGTCTATTTAATTTTGTGCTGACTTTAGAATTAGTTTGCCTTTTTGTTGCTGGTTTGTAACAATTCTCTATATATTCTGAATGCCAGGCCCTTGTCAGATAAACGATTTGCAAGTTTTTCCCCCATTGCAGGTGATCTTTTCACTGTCTTGGTAATGTTCTCTGATGCACAGAAGTCTTTAATTTCAATGAAATCAGTTTGTCTATTTTTTTTCTTTTGTTACTAAATCCAAATGTATCTACAGCTTCACCACAATCCCTACTGGAGTCCCTGGTGCAGAAAAGGATGAGCTGATCCTAAAATTCTTATGGCAGTGCAAGGGACCCAGAGCTGCTGAAATAATCTTGATAAAGAAGAGCAGGGTGGTTGGGTGATGGGCACTGGGGAGGGGATGTGCTACGGTGAGTGCTGTGAAGGGTATAAGCCTGGCGATTCACAGACCTGTACCCCTGGGGCTAATAATACATTATATGTTAATAAAAAATAAAATATTAAAATAAAATAAAAATAAAACTCAAACGTAAAAAAAAAAGAGGAAGAGCAGATTGGAGGACTCATACTCTCCAAGGTCAAACCTTACCACAAAGCTATAGTAATGAAGACAAATTCCTGTAGGACCCAGCAATGCCATTCTCCCTTACTGATGTAAGGCTAGAAATGCAGATTTATGGAATTGAACTGAGAACCAAGAAGTAAAACATAAATATGTAAAATAGAAAAAATATTTGATTTTTGACAAGTACCAAAATAATTTAATGGGAAGGAGTAGTCTTTCAATAACTGGTCCTGGGAAACTGGGCATCCACATGCAAAAGAATGAAGTTAGACCTTGTACCTCACATCATACATGGAAACTAACTCAAAGTGCATCAAGGACCTAAATGTAAAAACCAAAACCTTGGGACGTCTGGGTGGCTCAGTCTGTTAAGTGTCTGCCTTCAGCTCAGGTCATGATCCCAGGATCCTGGGATCCTCCTTGCTCAGCTGGGAGTCTGCTTCCCCTGCCTGCTCTGCCTGCCACTTCCCCTGCTTGTGCATGCGGCTTTCTCTCTCTCTGACAAATAGATAAATAAAATTAAAAAAAAAAAACAAACAAACCCAAAACTTTAAAATTCTTAGAAGAAAACATGGGAATAAACATTTGTGGCCTTAGATTTGGCAATGGATTCTTATAAATTACAACTAAGTTATAAGCAAAAAAGGAAAAAGATAACTGGACTTCACCAAAATTAAAAACTTCTGTGCTCCAAAGTACACCATCGAGAAAGTGAAAAGATACCCACAGAATGGGAGAAAACATTTGCAAATCACATATGTGATAAGGATTTGTATCTAAAAAAAAAAAACTATCGCAATTTATAACAAGATGACAAATAACAATTTTTAAAATGAGCAAAGTATCCAAATAGAGATTTTTTCCAAAGAAGAGACACAAACGGCCAGTAAGTACATGGAGAAACTCTCAGTATCATCAGTCAGAGGGCAGTTATCACTTCATCCCACTAGGAAAGACAGGACAAATGTTGGCAAGAACGTGGGAAAAATCACATCTTTCTTACAGCTTGTGGGACTGTCAAAATGTAGCAGCCGATTTGGAAAACCACGTGGGCTGTGCAGCAAAGGGTTTAAACTTAGACTTACCACAGGGTCCACAATTCCACCTCTAGATGGAATACCTGGAGGAAATGAAAACATGTTTCCACACAGAAACATGTACACAATGTTCCTAGCATGATACATAATGGCTAAGATTGGAAGCAGCCCCAACGTCTAGCAACTGATGAATGAATGAATAAAATGTGGTATTATCCATACAATGGAATAGAATTCTACAAGAAATGGAAACAAGCACCTTCTATGTTTCATACGTTACAGCTTTACAGCGTAGGTGAGCCTAGAAAACATTACGCTAAGGGAAAGGAGCTGGTCCGTGAAGACACCTGTTGGATGAGTCCATTTATATACAGTCTCCCAAACGGGACAGTCCACAGAGACGAAAGCAGATGAGTGATGCCGGGGGCTGGGTGCAGGGGGCGGGTCGTGGTGCTGCCTGGGTCCTGGGTGGGATGAACCACTGCTCCCTGTTGCCTGTGGCCTGGGGATGACAGAGACCTTGCCCTGGGGTGTTGCCCTGTCCCTGGGCCCAAGCTGCTGGAGTTGGCAGAGAGGGTCTCCATGCCTTGGAGGGGAGGAGCTGGTCACTCTGTCCACCGTGGGTTACAGGAGCATAGGGGACATGGCTTTACCGCTGGCCGGGGGTGCTGGTCACTGCATGTGTCTGTGCAGTGACCTGCCTGATCCCACCAAGTGGGAGGGGCACACGTCCTCACTCAACATCTGCCCCCACCACCAGCAGCTTCAGCCAGAGCAAAGCCGTGTGCTGAGAGGATTACAGACTCTTCTCCATCCCATCGTGGTTCAGGCAGGTGAGCCGAAAGAGAACAGCTCGTCCAGGAGGCCAAGTGGAGGGAGCACCACCGACTCCCAGTGGAGCACCCAGGGGGGTGCTCCAGAGCAAGAGGACCGTCGGGAGCCTGGGGCACGGGGCTCCAGAAGGAAAGACACGAAGTGATGAGTAACTGAAGAAAATGATCTCATTTGAGCAAAGGCTTGTGTCTGCAGGTGGGTGTGGCTTGTGGGGTCCCAGGCACGATGACTTTTGGGGGAGGTGCCTGAACAGTCTTGGGGAGACTGCTGAATTCCAGTGATGAGGACAGACCGACAGAAAGAGCATCTCGGCTCTGCGGCTCGCCTCGCCGCTGGAGGAGCTCGGGCATTTTGTCTTCCGCATGCGGCGGGTCTTCCTCGTCTTTTCTCGGAAGAAAAAGGTGTTACACAATCTCGCGTTGGTCCCAGGATGTATTGATTTCCGTTCTAGAGATGAGTCGCCTGCCCTGTGTCATTAGGGCTGCATGTCGAGCCGAAAGGAGGGCGCCAGGGCCCCTGGGAAGATTCCAGTTACTAGAACGCATTCCGTGTGGAGTCTGACTGGGTCTGGGAGACTCCAAGTACTTACCGGGAAGTTTATGCGGGGTGTCCGGAAATCTGCTGGAAAGAAAATGGAGAAATCAAATGGGAGCCGCTGGCAGGCTTGCTTGGTAGAACATGTGACTCTTGATTGTGACTTCAAGCCCCACATTGGGCAAAGAAGAAGGAACGAAAGAAAAAAAAACCACCTGTTTACTGAAAAAAATAAACAAAATGAAAACACTTAATGCAAACTCCCCAGGCTGGGAAAAAACCCTGTGGACCCTAGTCACGGACTTTGTAAGGACAGCCACAGTGTCCATTAACATTTATAATTTGCATAATACTTTACATTTATTATTTAT